ACGTAAATGGGGGAAGCAAGTACAAGTCAAGGGGGTGTGCACACAGAACTGCTCCTGGCTGTCGGGTGTTGACAGCTCCTCAGGCACGAGGTTCGATTCCTATCCCACCTCCTCCTCTCTGAAAGGAACCTTAAAACAACAAAGGTATTACATGTTAGTGTAAACGCACAAGCAATGCATATTTTAATTGTCAAAGCAGAAAAAAAAATTTGATTTTGGTAGGTGACTAAAATTCTGATCGCTGAGTACTTGCGTTTTACGTGTGAGCTCATAGTGGTGGATAAGTTCAGACTTAATTGAAAGCTCCTGAAGGAAAAGGAAGCGAACACATTACCATAAAATAATGTGGTAGGTTTCTTGCAAGTCTAGCTATTTGAAATAAAGCAACAGGGAAAATAAAGCGGCTAAAAAGCTAAATAAAATTTTTGTCTAATGAACTATGTGGGAAGTGATCCCATTCAATGAACGTTCAAGAAAATCGGGACTTATTTTGCTGGTCTTAAAGTGATACTGTGACGGTAGCATATAGAGTAGTGCGATGCAGTTCTTTCTACAAGAATTAATAGTCATTTCGTATCTTAGGGTCAGTTGACATCATTGATTAAAATATTTTCCTGGGGTAATATTACCGCTTCTAAGGATCTTTTTATTCCAGGTTTCCATGAATTATGTTAAACTCCTGAGACGCATTTTAGCATAAAACAGTATAATTTTCTAACGTATCAACGAAATCGCCAAAACGTGGAACACATTAACTACTTTCATGGTGCAATTTTCAACAAGGCCCCAACCACTGGTTAAGCAATGCGCTACTTTGTGATTGACAGTTTTAAATCGGGAAGGAAAACTTGACATCAGTCCAAAGTAATTGAGAGTAAGGTAGAACCGAATGTAGCCACAGCCAGGAGGGTTCAATTCACTAAACTGGAAGCCAGAATAAATGGACTAATCAACTGCTCCCGTTTAAAATCAGCCCAAAATAACTATGAACTGTCGTTCCCATCCTTTATTCCATGTTGTCGTTGACATTTAATATCACATTGCCTAAGTCATGAAAAAAGACTAAATTCATTGCCGCTTCATTGAATTTTAGTGATTGCGTTGAAATGAACCAACCATAAAAGATATTTTCAACGCTTGCCTTGATAAAAAGCCCTATCTCAAGATAAATTGCGCAAAGCAGGTCCCTTCAAAGTCGATTGCGCCACGGATAACAGAGGTCTTGCAACTAATCAAGACATTGTGAGGAAGGAGAGCACCACAAATCTGCTTGATTATGAGCGTCGCAGGGCAGCAGATCTCCTACTCAAGACAGATAATGTTGGTACCGACCTTTTTGAGCACTGTAGGAGGATGGAAGTAGCCTCGACTATCGACGTATGCACGTTCTCAACCGATTGTCGCCACTGCGCCCTCATGCATAGCGGATCCAACCATTGACGCAAACTGCACGAACAACCGAACCAATTTAACCAGCTCTCTTTTATTGATATAATGGTCTGGATGAAATCTACAAGTTACTCGATTCAACTTATTCTGTTTTTGGTAGTAGGAGCACAGGCGTATACAAAGCAGTTTGCCCAGCAGAGTCGCTTCGTTGGAACGGTTGACACTGCTTTGGGTTTGACTATCAATACCACCACAAGCACCCTACCAAAGTTCTCATCAGTGACACAAGTGAACTAATTTCTACTTCCCTGCATTCCCCTGAATTAGTAAATATGTTCAAATAATTACGTCTTCTAATTTTTATGATCATAGTCGAAGCTCATCAAACGTTCAAACCGCTACGTACATCAGCACGAACTGTTGCAAACTTCTGAAGTCGCCTATGGTGGACTCTACGAGAATGAACTTTATCCCCTTATAGCATAAATAGACCATACTCTGGCCCATAACATCCAGCGCATGAGTCCTGCAACCATTCCTACCCCAAGTTGGCAACTGTCACGCAAATCTACGACAATCGGATTCCCCAGGCGGATACGCCTACATTTCACCCTCCTCGATGACCAGAAACTGCTTCTCCTCTGCTGTCATCTGGCGAATATTAACAAAATATTTACCAATCCTTGTAACCATTTTCATGGTTTCTTCATTATTAATTCACTACTGCCACTGTAAGCTACAAATAAAAATCCATGCTAATTTAAAATGGCATTTTTCGCAGATATGAGGGGGTATTTGTAATGCCAAAAAAAGGGTTTACCATACCCTGAACCTCTTTTCGTTGGAAATACTAAAGCACGGTCTCTTTCCACCAATTAAGTGGAAGCTTTTCCCATTTTTTTGCATAAATTACAGCAGCCATTCTTTGTCCCAAATCGACATGAATGGGCTAAGTCGTATGTCACTACTTCGATAAAAGACTCCTTTTTAGAAGATGACTGAGCTTTAAATCACCCATTTGCCAATCCGGTTTTTTAAGGGTAACTACATTAATCCATAAGAATCCTTTAGCGATTTACGCAAATTGTTTATTTATGGCATAATCGCCGCGACTCTGCAGACATACCGTTCTACCTGATGTCCCCGCTTCATGTGGTTAATGCCATATGGGCTGTGTTTTGACTATCTATTGTCAAATATTACATCGTAGGAAATTAGTCGGCTCAAATTTCTGCATCCCATCTGCTCACTCCCATGATAAAATCCCTTTTCAATGGCTTGTATGTGGTGGACGTACAAGGAATAGAAAAGCACGGTTTAACTTGGCGAAGAAGCGATTTTCCCTCCAAGAAAAGAACTGAGGTGTTCGATTTATTGTAAAAAGATGTTCCTTCTTAGTTTGTAGTGCAATCCTAACTAAATCACCCAATCATAGTAGTTTCAAATAACCACTGCTATTCAAAGGAGCTTGTGTCTTTGAATGGGAGAAAAAGGACAAATTTTTGTGTGCATATTTTATGAATAAATTAGAGAAGGCAAGATATTAGAATGATTTTATCATTCAGCAGCAAAAAAGGAATGGAAAACCGATGTCGAGTGATAGCAGCATGAGTGAAAAGTGCTACAAAATGCTCTAAGCAAAGTAAAGATTCAGAAGTCGAAAGATGTAGACTAAACCCTGCGAATGCAAGCAAGTGGATATCACGTCTCAAGAAATTGTCCCACTTCCTAAATTCTTTAAGATTTTGCCGATTAAACCCTTCCAAGAAGAAGGCGGTTAAGGTATATTAAAAGGCAACAAAAGAGGTTTTATGAAACAGCACACCTCATGCACTACCTCTAGACCGAAGTTTACAATGGCCACCACTAGACGGATGTATAACGAAGCTGTGAGATTTGCTTGCCAGTAATGCATCATTTTGATGAGATCCTTTGAGTACTGTCAAAAGTGGCATTTAAAACTAACAACCGGTTTACTCGTAGACGCCAGTATTTTCGTTGCCTTTCATTCCTGACAGAGTCATAAGTATGCTTGCTGATAACAGCTTTCTGTGTGCATTTAATGTCAAAAGAGATTTTCTTTGTACTACATTATGTAAGCCAGAAAATAGACGTAAGTATGGCGTAGCATCGTAACAATCCCGAGTATTTCGGTTGAATGTACTGCTTATGTATGTATAAGTAATGGCCTGAGAGGCTACTAGCACGGCTCCGGGGCCACGTTGCAGTGAAGAAGTACAATCTGCGGAGACCGAATTGTCCTCGCAGTTAAAAGGCAGCTCAACAAAATGGTTAGGAATGTCGACAATCTTAGGGCAATGTCCACTAAAATACCATAGCTATGAGAGATCGAAAACACCCTGGATATCCTTTAGACCCTATTATTCAGCCGACAGTCATGCCTACACATACTGTACTCCCTACTTACACTTGTTAAGCTACACAGACGTCCGTATTTAAGTCTTTGTCTTTTGAGTGCTCGGGTCAAAACCTCGACTGGATCTAAGCTCACTCAAAAGGGCAGGTACCAGCACGCAGTAGAATGCAAAGTCCCAGACTTTGCAGTTTGCACTAAGAAGTCCAATCATCCAAGTCCCGCTAATACTGAACAGCAGGCATAAGGACAGACCTCAAATGAAGAGTAAGCTTAGTTCAGTCTAAGTCTGAGTAGAATTTTGCAGACTACTAATTTAGAGATAACTCCATTTAAAGGAGTTTCCACAAGGGATAGTGAAGATCCCAGTTACCATACCATAAAAGAAATTATCCTTAGGATCCAAATTTAACCATTTTGGAAGGTGTAAACGCAAAGCAGAATGCAATCCGTCATATATGTGCATAACTTAGGGAAATTTTCTCTGGATTTTAGCTTTAAATGCCAACTTTATTCAGCAACGTCGTGACCATGCAATACGCTGGCTGCTTATTTAACTCTCAGTTTTGGTGAAAGGTTCACTTTGGATCCCCGCCATTTTGCTTTAGCTGGATGAGATGTCCTCTGGTCCATGCTAGTGGCCCCAGTTCCTTCCCTCTGTTAAAATTACTTATCCTGCCAGAGTAGTATGTCCTCTTTCGCCCTCGGGGAAGTCTTGGAGAGCTACTGTCATGCCTGCCACATAAATTGACTCCGTTTATGGCGTAATTCGACATAAAAAATTAACTCTACTTCATCTACCATTAAAATGTATAGATTTCGGGAATGTTTGGCAATTTCATATAAACTGTCCTATAACTTAGAGCAGCCAGAAGACTTTGTCCGTTTTGCTGTATTTATTGTTTTGTCAT